AATTCTAATAAAATATAATTAAATTCGATCCTTCTATTAAATTAAATGGCGACGCTTTAATTAATCATAAATAATTAAAAGCGACCGCAGATTATATAGCCGGAATCCAATTCCCTGTATCGTCATTTTTGGAGAAGTATAACGAGTTTAGAAGCGTAAGGATAACTCAAGAATAATCCTAAAGGATGTACATTTCTATCGATATGTCCTGCTTAGAACGTACCCCTATATAACATCCCATTTATCCGGCCACGTTCTTTTCACGCGATCGTAGGAAGCGCGGATTGCCGGTTAAATCGTAAAATTTAATTAATCGGTCGGTGGTTGGCCGTGTACCAGGTTCCCAGCAGCTTTTGCCGAGCTTCTGGCCTCTATCCAGAATTAATGCCCGTGCCGGCACGATATTCCTTCCTCGCTTTATAGGAAGTACCGAGCGGTCGCCTATATACACCCCTGGAACACGTACCATCGAAGCCTACCCGTACATATACTCTGTTCCAACGCAAAACGTCTAGATAATCTTCGCCAGTTTCTAGCTTGTCCAAGTATTAGTAAATCATACTCTTTGATCTTCTCCTCTCTGCTTGATTTATGATACGGTTAGTGATATTAAGTGATTCCTTGGCTCGATGCCTCTCGTTTTGTATTATCTTACCAGCCGAGCAAATTGTGCATGAATTTTGCATAATTATAGTAATAATTCCGTAGAATCATAGCTTGTTGCTATTTGACATAAGGGAGGAATTCTGGTGCAACATTTTCTTGATATTTTTAGGTGTGTTTGTAGTAAAATGTCGAGAACTAAATCCTCGGTGTTATTTTACTTCGCAAAGTTATTTATTAACTCTCGAACGGCGGACCATGGAGAGAGATCCAATTTTAATTTCAGTTTAATTTTCTAAATTTTACATTGTTGCTTTAAAAGTTATTCTCTTAATATATGAAATTCTTTTGTTTAAAAGTTATACATTTAACTTTAGAATAATAATTTGGGTCACGATTGATCCAGGCTTCATTGTTCAAGAGTTAAAAGTTGAGATACGAACCTGGGATTCTATTCGTAGTCTGCGACCTTATTCGTTTCCCCAGTATCACTTCATATTTAGAAAAAAATAAGCATCCCTTTACTTGATAATGATTTGCCATATTTCAAATAATAAATTTAATTTTGTATCTTATCCTAAAACTAATAGAAGGGTTGCAGATACATGGATTCCCTAGTGATTAAAATATTATTATGATAAATTGTAGTTTAGTTCTGAAAATCAATAGAACGTATGAAATATGATTTATTCAAAGTATCATTTGTTTGCGAACAAATCGTTACGTTTTCTATGGTTATTCAGTAGAACTGCATAGTCAGATGTGTTCGACGTCGCGAGATACTTACAAATGATCTCGAGTTACGCCAGCGAAATGCAAATTACGATGTAGAAACTGTACGATTCACTTGTGAATATCAAGTATCGATGATCAGTCGCGTATAATCGCGCGTCGAACGCCGAGATCATGCTTAGCAGTTTCCGGGAAAGTGAAGCCGCATATAAATCAACCTCCTTCCTCTGATACTTTCCGTGATACCATAAATTTGCATGAAATTCTCGCTTTATATCGCCTCATTGTACTGTGCGCTTTCATCAACCTTCGACGAATTCTTTTTGTACCTTCAGAATTTCAAATTTATCAAAGATATTTAAATTAGGAGACATTAAAGATGATAAATTATTTTCTTTTCGCTATTTTAATTTTTTTTTTTTTGGTGTGCATTTTACAAGTATTTATTAGGGAATTCTTGCTATTGTTTTGGAAATATCATTTAAAAAAAGAGAGTATTGTTAAGTAATCAGTAACTTTATTGTTCATAAAATTCATATAGTAGTAATTGACTACAGAGATACTCGTTAATTATTCAATTAAATCTTCTTGAAGGTACAAGAATATTCAGACGAAATCCACGATCAGCTGGTATTAGCTGGATTAACTTCTGCTTCGAAGTTCCTTACACCGAATACGTTATTTAACGTAACACGAAAGTGTCTTTCGAGATATAGAGGATCCAGGGAAAATGGAACGTAAGGAGAATTCTAATGTAAAAGACAAAACGTGGATAGAAGGAATACAGAGTGTTTCAAAATAAATAATACACCTCGAGGAATAAATTCTTATAATTACTAATTGCAATAATTGGACTTTTAACAATGTGGAATCAACAATTGTTTTTTTTTTTGTTGATTTAAGATATCAGTGACATAGTTTGCATGCAACTTACAGTTCTGTTGGTAGTAATATTATGCTTTTACATTTACTGTAAGAGGTGAAGTCTTTCAAAAAATTTAAAAATTTTTCCACTCTACATTTCGTTGTTTAGAAGTACCTGAACGTTGTTAGGTTTCCTTAACATTTTTTCTATGCTTCCATATGTAGGGCAGCAAGGACATATATCTATATTTTATGATGACGTTGGTACTGCAGTAGTTACTGTTTTTTAATGAGATGTGAATGAGTGATATTTGTATGTTCTAGTGCTAGATTTTTTTGTACACTTGCTTCATATGCATCTTTTTTTATTTTATGCAAAAATAAATCACGCATGTTATAAAAATATTCATTAACTATTCCATTTTCTTTTTTTTTGTATTGATTTCTTTAGATCTCAGAAAATATTAAAAACATGTTATTTTGCTTATCTGAAAAATTTCCAAAAATTTATTTATTTTCATTTATGCCTTCAAAATTAGTACTGAAGACGTTTATTAGAAGTAATATTAAAATTAAAAGTGTTAGAGAAAAATTGATACATATGGAGCGCGGTCTTTCTGAAATTTGCCATTTGAAAACACACCCCCTTTCGAGCTGTATTGCACTTTGAGACACTCGGTACAAGATACAGATCTATTTTCGGTACGCTTATTCTCCGATGTGTAGAAGTTGTATGTACAAGTAGGTAGACGAAACGTTTGCGCGTTTCCTCTCCAGGCGATCCGCTTTACCGAAGTCAGAGGGATCGGTAACCTCGGACGAGCAGACCAAAGAGATTAAATTATTTATACCGGCCACTTTGGCGCGCCGGCTCGTTTCAAACCCTGCTCCGATATTCGATTATTATCGATTACGCGCTATTAGCCGATACTCGTTTCGACGTGTTTACGTCGCGGTAGGTTCGTAAAATTGGAACCACTTTCTCCTTTGCTTTTTCTTGCACGACCATCGACTCCATTTCTTCCTTTCGTTCCTGTTTTTGCGCTCGATGGCGGAATTACGATCACGCTTCTTTCTTTTCGTTTCACTTTTCCCCTTCTTCAGTTTTATTACGTTGTAATATTTTATAATCAAGCGATACGCGGGTTTCATAAGGATTTAAGGACATCCGTTTGCAATTTAATAAAAATAGTAATTTTCAGCAAAAAAAATGTAAAATGAAGAGAAATAAATGATTTGCCACATTTAAAGTAAATGGAAAATAAATTTGATAACGCTTGCAAGAATTTTGCTTGGAGTAATAACATTTGAAAAAACAGTTGATGCAAGTTTAACGAAATACGCGGCAATCATTTTAGTTTCAAATACTCGTTCACTGTGTCGCGAAGCCATTAGCAAATTATTTTCTGTATGAAAATCGGTCGACGATCACGTCTATGCGAGTTCAGGGCACAGAGCGTTAATTTGTTAAATTCCATTCCGTTGAAGAGCACATTGGGCGAAACGAGCGCTTTCGCGATACATTTGCGAATAACGAAATTTAGTCTCCAGTAATGAAATTATTGAACCGTATTGAAATGACAAACGATGTAAGTCACAAGAATAGAAGAAATAATTGGTTCAAGAGAAAAGGATGTGACTAAGACTAAAATAATTAATTTCATCTGATAGAGTTATAGAGATAGAGATAGACCAATATACTTTTGTAAAGAATAGTGCTCCTCAGTTGCACGAAAAAGGATAATCAGTAGAGGCGTGGGAGGATTCAAAAATATCGAATCGATTCTGGTCGAATTCGGTCGTTTCAGTTCGGATAGACTTGCATCGGATTAGTTCGGTTTGGGTCAGGCAGGGCCGAAACGAATCGAATCGAATTGGATCGGTTCGCTTCGATTCAGTTCGGGTCGAATCAGATCGATTCGGGTTGAATTGAATTGGATCGGGTTGGTTCGGATCCAGTCGGCTTGTGTCGTCTTTTTGAAAGTATAGATCTTTTAGAACTAAAAAATTTCGGGTTCTCACATCTCTATCACTCATCTAATGCTTAATTGATAAATGATAATTAATTTTCCCAGGATTTATTATCCTTGTACTGTATTACCAGCACCGGTTTCGAAGATAAAATCTCCGGCTCCCACAATCAAAGTGATTGAGTCTCGACTAGTTAGCCTACTGATAAAATTATAATGATTCCGATCAGATTATCCGTACGACAATTAAGGATTAGTCTGGTATCGCAAAACTAGGTGATAGAAATGAGGTCAGACATCGTGGTCGTACGTTCGTTTTGTTATTGACCGCACACGTGTACTTTTGCTGAGCAGATATCGGAGGTGCAGTCTCAGACGGATCCCACGCGTCTAAATGCATTCGCTCCTTTCATCTAGCGTCCGTTCGTTTGTTCTTGTGCGGTTTGCAGCGTGTACTCGCGTGTTACGTGTCTCGTGTGTACGCGTTTAAAGCTTTGCTCGTGCAAATGGCCTTTTAGTGCGTGATCCAAGTAGACGGCAAATACGATTCATTGAAGTGGATGAAATAAGTAGATATAAATTAGAAACAGACAGATTTTTGATAGGTAAAAATTTTTTTCAATTATTAGACACTCAAATACTTACATTGTTTGCTGGCAAATTCGTTGCCCAATGTTTTTCCTTTAACAATTCTGAAATGTAATTTTATAAAATTGCAAGCATTGTAAAATAGTAAAATTTAAAAATTACAAAATTACAAAATATTTATTTATTGTTAGATAATTTTATGAATTAAAAAAAAAATGGTAAATTACAGAATTCAATTTCTGGGATTCATACTTGTGTAGTAATTATTTTATTTCAATCCAGTTATTTCGTACAAATTAAATGACATGCTAAAATACATCCTCAAAAATAATATCTGTAATTGTTGTTACGCTTCATGATTTCGTACAATGGTACAATTGAAATATCGACAGATATCGAGCCTACGGTTGACTGAATTTTTCGTCGCTGAAAGTTCACCAAGCAGAAATTCATTTCCCTTGTAGAGAAACTCGTTCGTTTCGGAGTTACGTGTACTGGAACGGAAGCGTGTGAACGCGCCCTTAGCCTTGTCGCCTGGTGACTCCCGTGCGAGTTTCATGCGTGAATAAGCGACCGCCGTGCTCGAGAACTATGCCAACTGCCAACTATTATGTAATGCCTCGCGTCTTCTTCGCCCATTTCTCCATGTTCGTTCGCATATTCCGTTCGTCTGTGTGCACTCGTGTTTCCTCCGCCGCGTTCACTTCCGCCACGACATTCCGTCGAGAATTCCCTGACAGGTGTCTAAATACGCTATCCCCATTAAAAGTTGGCGCTTCGGGGGATCCGTGGAAATTCTATGCTCCTTTTATCTATTCGTCTGCTTATAGAAAATTTCGTGAATGGAAAATGACGAGTTATGCGTGTTTCTTATAATTACTTTTGTTAAATGGTGCATTTTTGGTCGGAAAAATGTTAATTTGAAGTCTAGTGTAATTAAGGTAAGGATTGTGTTGAGGTTGCTCGATTTTTAGCAAAAAAAAGTCAGATCAGTGATTAATTTGTAGGGGTGTACGGGTACCCGATTTTGGAGTCGGGTAGCATGGGGTATCGATGGCTAGCGTCGAGTAGTGTCGGGTAACTTTGAACAGTGTCGTATTGGGTCGAGATCCCAAAATTTTATAAAACTAGTAATTTCAAACCATATAAATTCTGATATAAAAATGGCACTAACGGTATATCAATTTGAAGCTTCAAGTTTGATAAAATTAATATTCCCTTCACAAATCGTCTGCTTATAAAAAAAGTATCGATATTATAATTATACAATATTAATTACACTTGATATTTTGTAAAAATTTATTTTCGTCATCTTATTGAAAAACTCAATTTTGCTAAAATTTCTCCTCTGTAATTTTTACCCAAACGAGTTTCAATACTCTTTAAACAATTATTATAGAAATTTTTCTATACCAACAATATCCTTTCATTTTTACTGAAGTGTTATACCTTATTTTTTAATTGATATGTCTTCTTCATCTTTTATCAAAAAAGCAATAGAGAAGCACTTATTTAATACCTGTTGGTCGGGGAGCTTCCCCTTTCTTGTTTGTCGTTCAACTGGTTCGGCGCCAAAACCCGAAAACCAGTTCATTGTCAAGGACCACCGGTACCATCATTCTCTTTTTCCTCTCGCACAGGAGGAAAGGATATCGACTCTCCTACGCGTAAACGAAGAAACGGTAGTCGCAATTCTTCTCAACATCCGTTGTATCGTACGTGCACGTGTTGCATCGATCGTAACCGCACCGCCTACTTCTCTGTCTTCTACCTTTCTAGATACCACCATGATTGTTTACCGTTGGGCATTGTTCTTCGATTTTTTTTCTCTTTACGGAAATCTCGTACGTAGCGATTAGTTCCGCCGTTTAAGAACGCGGATGAAGAGATGCTGAAGTAACTACAGAAACGAGAGGAAATAATGAATACCTGTCTCGGTTATTAAGTATTCCATTTATCTTTTCACAAAAAATTTCAAAACTATGTCCCTGTTCAATTGTGTACCATTGTTAGTATCACCGATATAGCACAGGTGTTCGTTTTAATTTTACCGATGAAAATTCTATGCCATTTTTCCGTGTTTTTCCTCTCGTTTATCTCGAAAAGGTACCGAAAAGTGGCCGAAAATAGGTGGCTTCGATGTAAGCTCGCACATCCTCGATAGTTCCTTGCCGTCCAATGGTTTCTTCTCGACGACCGACTGTTTGGCGTCACGTTACGCGTACACGAAGTAAACGACGCGGGAAACTACCGGTTTAAACCACAGTTTGATCTCGTCTGTTCTCTCGCAGCTTCCTTTCCTCTCATGTGCGAATAATCGGATCGAAGATTCGCGTGTACACGCGCCTGCTAACGAGCGTGTCCATACGCGAGGACCTGTGTCTGGGTGCAGGTGAACAAGACGGATCGTCTAGATCCATTGGAAACTGGTTTCGAATCCAACGATCGAACCAGTTTCTAGACACGACGCTCGATCTTGGATCGAGCAGGGAAATGGAACGATTGTGGGTCACCTTTCGTTCATTTTCTTTGAATTTCCCACTTTTCTACTTTTGGATATTTCTTGGTTTGCGAAGAAATAATTTTGGGGGTTTGAATCATTTCGCGGATGAGATGGTTTATCGGGTACCCGAAATTTTCAATTTGTATATCTATACTTTCGAAAACCCTGTTCGACTCAACCCAAACAATGCTGATTCGATTCGACCCGAACTATTCTTATCCGACCCGAATAATGCAGACCTGACCCATCACGAATAATATAGACCCGACTCGATCCAACCAAAAAATACAGACCCGACCCTACGCGACCCGAATAATGAAAACACACGACTCGAACCTGCCTAAATTTTGGGTACCTACCATTTTTTGGCTCTCGCATACCACTAGTTAATACGTTAATGTCCTAATCTACGATAATTCAAGGAACCTTCCTCTTCCTCATAATTTATTTTTCAAATTATTATATTTCAACTCTCATCTCCAAAAAAACAATTTTCCATCGATAAAAAGTTCTCACCTTCGAGCATCTTCATTTTATCTTTTATTGAGCAAGAAGGGGTTAAATAACACAATACTTGCACGTGTTGCAAAGTAACATCGGCGCTGGTTCACGATAAAGGTGAGATAAGTTGGTGTTTCCGACTCTACCGAGAATCATCGACTGTAAGATACACGGATCGGATAAAAGCACTTCCTGGGTGCGCCAGGTCGAGGTGGCTCGTGTCTGTGTGCAACGTTCCATCTATGTGTGGAATCTATCTTTACCTGGCGTTGCGCACACGTTCGTTCTCGCGCATAGTGGAAAGCGATTCTTTCGTCCTTCTCGAAGAGGCCGCCATACTTGGGTCCTCACAATGTATCTGGAGTGCAGCCAGGTACAAAAGGTAGAAGAGCAAAGTAAAAAAAGAAAAGAAAAAAAAAGAGAACTGAAAGTGTACAGGCCGGCAGAATGGAGAGGCAGGAGCCATTCGACACGAGATCGGCAACAAAGAGAACGTGTTGCGGTCGGATTACTGTGCATATATCTTGCTTCTCACCCGAGTGCTCCTCTTCCTTTTTACTATTTTTCTGGTATCGCGAGATTCGTTTCGCCTGCGATCGAGTTTTTCCCGACGATCACTCTTGAATCGCCAGACATATGTACGTTACAGATGTTCTTGTTTAGACTGAAGCCTGTAATGATAACGCGGCACTATTCTATTCTGAAATATCGGCTCACTGCATCGATATTTAAAAGAATAGGGAGATTTTTAATGTGGTATCTTTGCGAAATGTTGCTTTTTCCAGAGTGTTAAGCATTGCACTGATGATGAAATTATTTTTCCATGAGAAAAAGAATTAACTCTCATAGGACTTGGAAACTTACCATTTAGGCCATTTTTTTTATTGTATTACATATATAGTCAAATTATGATATTGGAAGACAAAGTTTGTTTATTAAGCTAATGAATGTAATTTGAATATTTATTAATATCCAGTGTAGAGATGATTACTAAAAGAAATAGATGATTATATCTTAAATTCCGTTTCAAAGGTTTCCTTCTGTTTGTACTTCTGATAGTTTGATCAGAGCACGTGTTGGAACGTACAAAGTTAATTTAATCTCATCCACGTCATAAAGCGTTGCTTAATTCGTGCTGTATGGCCCTAAGAAGTTACATAGAGTGACTAATAAAATTTATGAGTCAATTGAGCTTATCTGACGCAAAGGCCGCTCTTCGTTTAACTCTTTCTTTCCTTTGTTTGTACTACAAAACGTAATACCATTTGTACTACGTACATGTACAGTGCCAAGGATGGTAGGCTTCCCCAAGGAAAATGGCAATATCCTGAGTTTCCGACTCTTACCCTTCCCCGTAATAATTTAATAAATAAAAATTATATAAATTTCTTTTCTAAATTATTTTTAATATTGATATTGTTAAAATTGAAATTTTGAAAATTTCTGCTTCTCTTATTTTGCCATTTTCTCTAGGGAAGTCTATTTATTTTTATTCATGTTTATCAAAAATTATTTATTTTATGATAATATATCTACGATCACTTTGCTAAAAGGTCTAATATTATTCGAGGAATAATAATCATTGAATTTCATGCAAAATCATCGGTATCGTCCATTTCCACACCGAGTTCATTTTCGATTCCTTCTTGTTTCTCCGATTGTCGCGTCGAAGACGCTATCTCCGGTTCTAGAGCACGTTTCTGTTCCTGTTCGCCAAAGTTATTGTGCCATAGTGCACATACGCGACAATGGCGGACCTAGATACTATAGAGTAATATCTATGCTCGTATGTAAACGGTCCGAAGGAGAGTGTGGAGAGAAGCGACGTGCATTGTGAATGTCTTTACAAAAGCCGTTAGATGCAGCGCTAGAGACGTTCATGCAAAAGGAACAATCTCGGCGCCTCTCTTATCAGACGGTCAAAAGTTGAACGTCAACATTTCGAATCAAGCTTTTCATTCTGTCAGAGAAATTTTCGACTCAAAATTCCATTTATTATTCGGATAGATAGATTCGAAAATTGTGCACATGTCTGATGAAATTACCAATCAATTCCTCGTATCGTTATTTTATCTAGAATTTGTTATATAATAGCAGGATTTTATGCATGAGGGAAATATTTCGATATTCAGCTGCACAGATGAACAGGTTTCATTCAATGCAAATGTTATGGCATTCATTAGCACGTAAAAGTTCATTTTCACGCTCGTTTCTATGCTTACCTTGTTAACGATGTTAAGAAGTAATAGTAAGAGCACTCACTTTTTAGGGTTATTCTAGGAAGTACACTTGCGATTAAATCAGGCTTCCTTAAGAAAAATAGCAATATAGTAAGAATTCTCAAAATATGGTATTTATATTGAAAGTAATTTAATATAAAAGTTATGTACTTTTTAATTATTGAATATTGAAAAATTTTAGTGTATAGCTGCAAAGTACGAATGATATAGTAAATGTTTAGAAGCAAGTGCTGGGGGGACCACAAATCTATATATATGGGGCCTTTTTTCTATGTTTTATTCTCCCCGTGGATACCTACGGGGAAGGAGAGGTTTATGAAGAGGGCCAGGAACCCCCTGTAATCCGGAAACCCGAAGAAACTTACAAGGAAAGCTGGGAACTCCACGAAGCCTATGAAGGGGATCAGTATTTTTCCTGAGGAAGCCTGATTTCATCGCGGGTGTACATCTTGTTATGTTACAACACTCACCTTCTATAATTAGTATGCAGATTATTTATTTTCTTATGAACATCTCAGGGAAGTTAGCTTCTAGTTTGAAGATGCAAGTCTGACATTACTAACACTGAAACTTTGAAATATTTTTACACTAAAATTTCCAACAGAATATTACATTAGAAGAAGGATTTGATCATTTTAACATGTAAAACACTTTTACAATTTGAATTGAGATCTTGCAGATAATTAAATCAGTCTTGTACTAGATTTTTCTTTCAATTATTAGAAAAAAAGTTCCACTTGTTTCATTCAGAAGGATGCAAATCTCGCATCAGTTGTCGAAAATAAAATAAGATTTACAAAGCAATACTATCATGTTCGAATAGGAATTAATTATCTGATCATGTAAGGGTGTATTGCAATTGGAATTACACGGTGTCAGACGCGAGAAAAGCCATCAAGATCTGGCGAAACATCAACTTCGTTGGATAAATCGGATAAAATGAAACGCCACGTACGAGCAAGGATTCAGCGACGCTCGTTATTGCTGGGACAGCTCAATTTATGAGCTGGAAATAAATTGTTAATTCCTTGCTGGACTGGCGCGCATAATCACGGAATGTTGGAAGCCTGTTAATGGAGGTTGCGTAGGACGAGTAGCGGAATTATCCGAGCCCCGGCGCGGCGTAGCTTCATTTACGGGAAATCGAACAGACACTCGAATATCACTCGAAGAGGAAGTTACCATGAAACGTACGGCAGTGGGCCGAAGGGAGTTATAATTGGGTCGAAAACGAGTAGTAAGCTACGGCTAATGGCGAAGGAATGAAAATGCGCCGGGAAACGAGCGAGAGCAATCGAAGTAGCCTTCCGGCTACCGGCTGCCTCGAGCTATTTCCGGAAATCGTTGTCGAGTCAGTTGCATTCAACATTTTCGTCAGTCATTTGTGTATTCCTCATATTTCATTTTACAATGATCGACAGTGAGAGCTTGGAAATTATTATTTTGCAATTCTTAGAATTCTTGTAATTCTTGCAATTCTTTTAATTTTGTAGCCCCAACCTCTCATCCACTAAATTTTAATAGTCTAGAGGAAAGGGTAGCACCTGTCAAAAGGCAAGAAAAATATTACAAGAGCATTAAATAAAAATAATTGTTCGAGGGGTGGAAAATTGTCCTCAGAATATGCTCTTCGGTTGGAGTCAAGTTTAGGGTGTTCCGCGTCACTTGTTCTCATCCTCGTTTTCTCCCTCTCTTCCTCTCTTCCTGTTGTAGCAACCCACATCAATGGCATCCCTTCGAAAATTCTCGCAGGAGAGATGACTCATCTCTGCGATCGATTATTCCTGTGTCTGGATGCGGCAGGACAGTAAATTTTATCCCTTGCATCATCTCCCTGCTATATTGTTACTAAAGAAGAAAATCATTGAGAATACCCTGAACCACTCCTAGAATTTTATGAAAAATGATTTGAAGATGATGTATCTCTGTGGACGGGAACGTTCCTTTTTTTTCAGTTTCTGAATATTTATGAGGTGTAAAGAAAGGAAACAAATGATTTAATCATTTTCTTGAATGACAAATCATGAATAAGTGTGATATTATTGCTGACTAGGCAAGAGATTGTTTCGATGTATCTTTTTGAATGATGGAAGAAGTGAATATTTGCATAGCATCAATTAAACATTAAAACTTTTAAAATTATTCGACAATTTTAATTGAG